AACCAAAAAAGATTCATCACTCGAAAAAGGCGGGCAGACCTCGCATCGACACCACCAAGACCTGCAACCAGGACAAGGTGGAAGATTTTGCACGCATGCTCGGGGAAGCTCTCCCTGGCCCAGCCGGGGTCACTGCCTGTAAAAGATGGGAGCACTTCAGAGACGCTGTGTTCAACGCTGCCATTTCCACCTTTGGCAAGAAGACCAGCAGGTCGGCAGACTGGTTCGAGGCTCACTCGGAAGAGATGACACCTGTCATCGAAGAGAAGAGAAACGCCTTGGCAGCCTACAAAGCCTGCCCAAGTCAGTGCAACTTACAGATCCTTCGGGCCGTCCGCTGCAAAGTGCAGCAGAGCGCCAGGCGATGTGCCAACAACTATTGGCTCCAGCTCTGCTCCCAGATACAGACTGCAGCGGATACAGGCAATGTAAAGGGAATGTATAACGGCATCAAGCAGGCCCTCGGCCCAATCCAGAAGAAGACCGCTCCTCTGAAATCTGCCACTGTCGAGGTGATTCAGGACCAGACACTGCAGCTGAAGCGCTGGGTCGAGCTATACGCCCGGGACAATGTAGTCACCGAAGACGCCCTGAGCGCCATTGAGTGTCTGCCTGTGTTAATGGAGCTCGACAGCGAACCGACCCTGGAAGAACTCAGCGATGCCCTAGACTCCATTGCTTCTGGTAAAGCTCCTGGCAAAGATGGCCTTCCTGCTGAGACCTTAAGTGCTGCAGAGGTAGCCTGCTCATGGAGCTGCATGAAATTCTCTGCCTCTGCTGGGAAGAAGGAGAGGTGCCACAGGACATGAGGGATGCCAACATCGTCACGCTGTATAAGAATAAAGGTGACAGGAGCGACTGCAACAACTACCGTGGAATCTCCCTCCTCAGTATTGTCGGAAAACTGTTTGCTCGAGTCGCATTGAAGAGGCTCCAAGTACTTGCAGAGAGAGTCTATCCAGAATCACAATGCGGATTCAGAGCTGACAGGTCCACCATCGACATGGTCTTTTCCCTCAGACAACTGCAGGAGAATGCAGGGAACAGAAGCAGCCACTCTTCGTAGCCTTCATAGATCAGACGAAGGCCTTCGACCTCGTCAGCAGATTGGCCTGTTCAAGATCCTCCCCAAGATTGGATGCCCACCCAGGCTTCTCAGCATCATCAGATCTTTCCATGAGAACATGAGGGGCACCGTGGTCTTTGATGGCCTAACATCAGACGCCTTTGACATCCGAAGTGGAGTAAAGCAAGGCTGCATACTGGCTCCAACCCTATTCGGGATTTTCTTCGCAGTTATGCTGCGGCACGCCTTCGGATCTGTCACGGAAGGCATTTACCTCCGGACCAGGTCGGATGGAAAGCTCTTCAACCTCGCCAGGCTGAGAGCCAAGATGAAGGTTCGGCTTAGGTGTCTGCGCGACTTCCTTTTTGCCGACGACGCAGCAGTCACTGCCTACTCAGCCGAAGACCTCCAACGGCTCATAACCCACTGCAGCGAGGCCTCTCAGGCTTTCGGACTCACCATTAGTCTGAAGAAAACACAAGTCATGGGACAAGGAGTGGACTCCCCACCTGACATCGGCATCTCCGATTCCAAACTGGAAGTCGTTCACGACTTCGTGTACCTGGACTCCACAATCTCTGACTCCCTCTCTCTTGATATGGAGCTAAACAAACGCATCGGTACGGCATCTACTACCATGTCCAGACTGACAAAGAGAGTGTGGGCCAACAGTAGGCTAACTGAGTATACTAAGATTCAGGTTTACAGAGCCTGTGTCTTGAGCACTCTCCTTTATGGCAGTGAGTCTTGGACACTCCGCGCCCGTCAGGAAAGACAGCTGAATGCCTACCACATGCGCTGCCTTCGACACATCTTGGACATCACCTGGCAGGACAAGGTGACAAACAACACCGTCTTGGGGAGAGCAAGAATCACCAGCATGTACACAATGCTGAAACAGTGACGAATGCGTTGGCTCGGGCACGTTGTGCGAATCGGCGATGGTAGGATCCCCAAGGATCTCCTGTACGGAGAGCTGAGGCAGGGAAAGCGTCCAGCAGGCAAGCCCCAGCTACGGTACAAAGACGTATGCAAGAGGGACCTGAAAGCCATGGACGTCGATCTTGCTATATGAGAGACACTGGCTGCAGAACCTTCAGCCTGGAGGCAGTCTGTTCAAAGAGGTCTCTCCAAGTTCGAGGAGTCACTTGCCAAGGAATCGGAGGCAAAGAGACAGAGAAGGAAAGTCGGTAGCCAGGAAGACAGACCAGAATCGGACTTCGTTTGTGCTCGGTGTGGGATGGACTGCCACTCTCGGATTGGCCTCATCAGTCACACCAGACGCTGCACCAGGATTGACAACTAGGGCGCAACTCCATAGTGTCCCGAGACTGAAGGATACCTACTACTACTATATTGTAACACTTACTGAGGCACCTTATATTCAAACACTTATTGCCATACCTTGTACTGTAACACTTATTGCCACACCTTGTGTTGTTACTCTGCCACACCTTGAATTTTAACACTTCCTGCCACACCTATTGTTCAACCTCCTGCCACACCTTGTGTCGTAACACAATACAATGTCACAATACTTTCTGTCACTGCTTGTAATGTAACACCTTGTGTATAATGCCACGTCTTGTGATGCAACAGTTACTGTCATTTTATTGTAACACCTTTACTGCAACATCCATTTGTTTTAAAACTTACTTCAGTGACTGCCAGACCTTGTTTTGTAAAACTAACTGCCAACATTTACTGTAATACCTACTGTCACACCTTATATTGTAACACTTTGTAACACTTCTGCCATACCATGTATTGTTAAACTTATTGTCACACCTTGTAATGTTACACAGCCACACCTTCTATTATTTCACTTACTGCCACACCTTGTATTGTAACACTGCAATGCTTTGTATTGAAACACCTACTGCCACAAACATGAGATTTAAAACTTACTTCCATATCTTGTGTTGGAACACTTACTGCTACACTTTATATTGTAACACTTAGTGCAACGCCTTATATTTTAAAACTGCCTCATCTTATATTGTAACACTTGCTGCCACAGCTTATTTTGTAACATTTACTGCCACACTTTGAAATGTAACACTGCCACACCTTGTATTCTAGTACTTTCTACCATATCTTGAATTTAAACATATTACCTCACCTTGCATTATAACGCTTACTGCCACATCTTGTATTGTAACACAATACAATGTCACAATACTTTTTGTCACTGCTTGTAATGTAACACCTTGTGTATAATGCCACGTCTTGTGATGCAACAGTTACTGTCAATTTTTATTGTAACATTTACTGCAAATCCTTTGTTGTATCAGTGACTGCCAGACCTTGTTTTGTAAAACTAACTGCCAACATTTACTGTAATACATACTGTCACACCTTGTATTGTAACACTTACTTCACCAGATTAAATTGTTACACTTTCAGCCACACACCTTGTTTCGTAACATCTTGTATTGTAACATTTACTGTCAAACCTTATATTGAAACACTATCACACCTTGTACTGTAACAATTTCTGCCAATCCTTGTATTGTAACACTGCTCTACCCTTATCATAACTCTTTCTGTCATATCTTATATTGTAACACAGTCAGTCCTTGTATTGTAATATTGCAATACCTTGTATTGTAAAACTTACTGCCGCACCTTGTATTGCCATACTTAATGTAACACTTAATATCGTGAAACTTACTGCAACACCTTGTATTGTAACACTGCCACACCTTCCTTTTATTCAAACACTTACTGCCACACCTTGTTTTGAAACATGCCACACCTTCTATTCCACATTTACTGCATCACGTTCTATTGTAACACCTAGTGCTTCACCTAGTCCTAGTGCTGTGGAATGTTAGGACCATGACACCGGGTCTCTCGGAAGATCTGCTGGAAGTGAACGACGCCCGCAAGACAGTTGTGATCAACAATGAACTCCTCGGGATCCAGATGGACGTAGTCGCCCTGTACCAGACACGTCTGCCCACAACCGGCAACATTCGGGAGAAGGATTTTACCTTCTTCTGGCAGGGCAAACCAGAAGAAGAGGTAAGGGAGTATTGCGTTGGCTTCCCTGTCAGAAATAGATTGCTAGGGTCCATAGTACCGCCCACGGAGGGGTCTGCAAGTATCATCAAACTTCAGCTTTATACAGCAGCAGGAATGGTCAGCGTCATCAATGCCTGCATACTGTGATGGTAATCTCTTTCAAGAGAGATTGAGCCTGCTCTTCCCTACGTAGAGTTACTTATATATATACAACACTAAGATGCTACCTTCAAGATATGTCTACCAGTAGCACAAAACGTTTTGACCAGGTGGCAAACGTACCCTAAACTCCCCCCACTCCTCACTCCCTCCACGACGGCTCGCCACCGTCGTCAACCAGCAAACTACCATTCCAGTGTGCCTGCTTCTGATTGGTGACCCGCCATCTGCACACCTGCACCTCTGCACCTCAGCGCCCTCTACCAAGTCGATGTCTGGTCTTGAACCAGCCATTGAAGTTAGAATATCCTTGTGCTGCCAAGCTGTGAACTGATATACGCTCTGTTTATTGGTGGAGGTTCTCAGCTAGCGCTATATTCTCAGCACCTGTTAATCATTTTTCTGTCTTTATTTTATTTGTAGAGTAACGTCACCCTTGTTCTTAATTTTTATGTTATATTTTTTGACTTGTTTGTTTGCACTGTACATAGCCAAGGAATTGTCTTATTCATAATTTTTAAAGTTAATTAAAGTTTCATTGTTCATACTATGTGTTTTGCGTGTCTTCCCTTACTTTACCACAGACAACAGCCAAGCAGTTGATCTTTTTTTTCTAAAATGTGATAGGCATTGACACCAGCCATTAGGAGGACTGCCGAACACCTACACTTTCCCGTCACACTGACCTCCTCTACCGAAGCGAAGGACGAATTCTATGATGATCTCTGCCTAATTCTTAGAGACCTACCTCAACAAGAGCCAGTCTTCCTCCTGGGAGACTTTAATGTAAAGGTTGGTTCTGATCACAGCTCTTGGCCTTGCTGCCTGGGCTAGTTTGGATTTGGGAAAATGAATGAGAATGGGCAGCGCCTTCTGGAGTTCTGCTGTCGTTATGATCTCTGTGTCATCAATTCCTTCTTCGACACGAAGCCCCATTACAAGGTTCCCTGGAGACACCCCAGGTCTAAGCATTTGCACCAACTCGACCTGATGCTTACGGGGCGTAGCAATCAGAGAAGCGTCAAACTGACCCGCAGCTTTCAGATCGCAGATTGTAATACCGACCATTCCCTCGTAATTTGCTAAGTAAAGTTCCAACCCCGGAAAATCCACCGAGCAAAGAAGGAGGAAAGACCACACATTAACGTAAACAGTACCCGTGACCTTCATAAGGTGGGTGAGTTCACTGCTGCGCTGGTAAATGCCCTTCTTGGACCACCCTGAGATAGCGCAAGTGAGAGGTAGTCAAACCTCGGGGGGCTCTATTTTCAAAACTGCCATGTCCACCTTCGGTAAGAGGCAGAACAAGTCAGCAGACTGGTTCGAGGCCAGTGGAGAGGAACTGTTACCCCTCGAAGACGAAAAGCGACGAGCTCTCTCAGTCTACAAGAACCTGCCCTTAGAAAGAAACCTACAGGTCCTCCGAACTGCCTGCAGAAGAGTTCAACAAACTGCAAGGCGCTGTGCTAACGATTACTGGCTCCGACTTTGTTCCAGCATGCAGACCGCGGACACTGTCTGCAACATAAGAGCCATGTACGAAGGGATCAAACAGGCAACAGGCCCTACACAAAACAGGACGGCTCATCTGAAGTCAGCCACTGGAGAGATCATTAAAGATCGTGATCAACAGATGAATCGCTGGGTGGAACGTTACTCCGAACTCTACTCCATAGAGATAACTTGGTCAGCATAGAGGCCTTGGATAAAATCGAGTGTCTGCTCATCATGGAAGAACTAGACTTTGAACCGATTGTGAAAGAAGTTGAGAAAGCACTGCATTCACTTTCCTCTGGGAAGGCGCCGGACAGACAATGGGATTCCGCCTGAAGTTCTCAAGTGCGTTTGAGGAACACTTAAAACTGAGCTTCATGAACTTCTATGCCAGTGCTGGAGGGAGGGCTGTTGATCCGCAACATTTATATAATAAACATCATAATTCCAGTGCCCGGCTCTGTGGTGCAGCGGTCAGCACGTCCGCCTTTAAAGTGGCAGACTCGGGTTCAACTCCTGGCTCAACTTTCATCTCAGGTTCAACTTTTTGTCTCCAGCTAAATTTTCACCCTGATAAATTTACTAATTAATGTTTACATTATCTTCAACAGAGTATTGGTAAATGTGAATATGTATATTTAACTAATTATAGCATATATGAGAAACTATATTAGGTCTACAGTGTCATGATCATTTGTTATTTATTTTTTTAACTTTTAAATAACAAACATTGAAGAATTTGTTCTGTAAAACTAACAAAAATAAGAAGAATAGTAAAACTGATGATGGTACATTACGTTGGTGCCAAATACAGTATGTGGGACGTTACGTTGTTAGTCCAAATACATTAGGTGGGTCGGTCCCATGGGTTCCAAATACAGGAAATAGCGCGTTTTGTTGGTTGTTCAATTAATGTATGTGGGGTGTTATATTATTTATTCATATACAGTATGTGGAATGTTACGTTGTTAGTCTAAATACAGTAATGGGAAACTACATTGGTTGTTCAAATACAGCAGGTTATATGTTTTGTAATCTATTCAAATACAGCAAGTAGAACGTTACTTTATTGTAACCTTTAATGCCATCCCGTGTATTGTGACGTTTAGTGGTGCACCTGCCTGCTATTGTAACACTTCCACACCTTTTAATGTAGCTCTTACTGCCACACCTTGTATTGTAATACTTGTACTGTAACACTGGCCTACCTTGCAATGTGACACTTTGAATTGTAATACTTACTGCCACACCTTGTATTATAACTCTGCCACACCTTGTATTGTAACTCTGCTATACCATGAATTGAAACACTACCACACCTTGCATTGTAACTCTGCCACACCATGTGTTGAAACATTTCACACCTTCAGGGGAGCCGGTGGCTGAGCGGACAGAACACTGGACGCGTGATCCTGTGGTCCCGGGTTCGATCCCGGGCGTCGGCAAGAAACAGTAGGCAGAGTTTCTTTCACCCTGATGCGCCTGTTACCTAGCAGTAAATAGGTACCTGGGAGTTAGTCAGCTGTTACGGACTGCTTCCTGGGGGTGGAGGCCTGGTGGAGGACCGGGCCGCGTGGACACTAAGCCCCGAAATCATCTCAAGATAACCTTGTATTGTAACACTTACCTACTTGTTGACTGACGGCGCCGTGGAGAGGGGGGGGGGGCCTGCTGCAAAGGTGACAGCTTCTCCCCCGTATCAACACATTAACTTTGTGTTGTCTTTGATACTTTAATGTATCTACCCTGGCTTTGCACCCTGGAAAGGCCACTCCAGACCCACAACCAGAGCGCAACTTTATAGTCTCCTGAGACAGAGGGATGCCTTCTAATACTACTGCCACACCCACCTTTTGTTGTACCATCTACTGCCACACCTTGTATTGTAATACTGCCACACCTTGTATTGTAATACTGCCCCACCTTGCAATGTAACATTTACTGTCACACATTGTAATACTGCCACACCTTGAACTGTAACACTGCCCCACCTTGCAATGTAACATTTGCTGTCACACCTTGTATTGTAATACTGCCACACCTTGTACTGTAACACTGCCCCACCTTGCAATGTAACATTTACTGCCACACCTTGTATTGTAATACTGCCACACCTTGAACTGTAACACTGCCCCACCTTGCAATGTAACATTTACTGCCACACCTTGTATTGTAACACTTATTGCTACGTAGATGATGAGTCACAATAACGTGGCTGAATGTGTTGTTATTGTGTGTGTTCTTCTTTATCTTCTGGTGTGTTGACTAAACAACACACCAGAAGATAAAGAGACAGCACTGTGGAGAAATGCCCGACAGACCACTGGAACATTATCTAACACAGTGCACAGTTACAAACCCATTAAGATTTCAACATCGATTCAACAGAGCAGAAGAAGTTGTTAAACACAAATGGCAAAATCTTACTGAAGCAACCATACAAGTCATAAATACTCATGCTCCGCCCAAGTAAAACAGAAACAAGCAACGCTTAGTGGGTAGGCCAGAGGCTCAGGGCCCACGCAGAAATATCCCTGCAAAAGAAAAAAATAAAGAGACGACGACGTTTCGCTCCGTCTTGGACAAGTATTAAGTCGATTGTGATGAGACAAGGTTGTTGGTATTGTGGTTTTAGATTTAGCTACTCAGAACAAAATGTCCATTTAGCACGGGCTATGGTGAGCCCGTAATTGAGTTCGGTTATTCGCGATAAGCTTGTTACTGTGATAAATGAGTCAAAATTTAAAATGAGGGGTTTCCTACTTTTTCCGTTTCTTTCTCATTTCTGTTTTAGTGCACTGGTTTTAGTCTTGTTTTAATAACATCATCTCGGTGGTGGATGTAAATGCAGAATGTTCACTAGTGTGTCCCATTCTTCAACGGCTTTTCTAATCACTGTAGTCGCTGTGGAATTTGCAGTTAATGCAGCTGCTCTCGTTGGATTATTGTTGAGTTTGAAGCTATTTTATGCCTATCAATGCCTATACTTAAACTATTGGGTTTATTACCTCCCAGCAGCACTTGCAAACAAGTCTTAGTTTGTGTATGGCTGAGACAAAGAATGCACGAGGCATTTAGTAAAGCAAGAGAGAGGTGAGGAGGAGGAAATCTTAGAGGAAGGTAAGAGCAAGGCAAAAGGTACAGATAGGATAGGTGTAAGGGGGTAACAATAGGTGTAAGAATGGGAACATAAGTAAAAGAGGAGAAAGAAATAGACAAAGGATTGGTAGGCTTATGTTAGGTCCCGTTTGTTAGAAAGTTTAGATCATCTGGGTATGTAGAGTTAGGAAAGAGCAATCAATATTATGACAAGAATTCTAACATGACTTAAGATAGCATGTAACACTCTTTTGCCTTAAGTCTGTCACGGCCAGTTGCAAGACGAACATGAAATGAGTAACATTAGCTGTATTCTAACACACCTTGTATTGTAAGACTTACTGCCACACCTTGAATTGTAACACTGCCACACCTTGCAATAATAACATTTACTGCCACACCTTGTATTGTAATTCTGCAACACCTTGAATTGAAATACTTACTGCCTCACCTTGTATTGTAATCCACCCACACCTTTTATTGTAATATTTACCGTCACACATTGTTACATATGATCATTTATATTGTTTATATATAACCATTTTATCCGCAAAATTTATATAATAAACATAATAATTCCAGAGCCCGGCTCTGTGGTGCAGCGGTCAGCACGGCCGCCTCTAAAGTGGCAGACTCAGGTTCAACTCCTGGCGGAGCCTTTTTCTCTCCATCTAAAGTTACACCCAGATAAATTTACTGATTACTATTTTACATTATCTTCAGTTAAGTTTATGTGAAATATGTTAACAAATATTTAGCTAATTATATCGTATAAAAAACTCAATTAACCCTACATTTTCATAATAAATTTTTATTTATTTAACATTGAAATTGCAAACACTGAAGCATTTGTTCTATTAAGAAGTGCAAAAAAAAGTATTGTTAAACTGATGTTGTTACATTATGCTGGTAGTCCAAATACAGTATGATGGCCATTACATTGGTAGTACAAATACAGTGAGACGTTATGTTCGCAGTGCAAATACAGTAACACCGCCACACAGTTTATTGTAACACTTACTGCAACACATTGCATTGAAACACTTGCTGCCAGACCTTGTTTTGTAACACTTACTGATACACCTTGAATTGTAACACTTACTGCCATACCTAGTGTTGTAACACATGCTTCTACACCTTGTATTCTAAGACTACTGCCCCTTGAAGTATAATATTTCCAGAAATACTTTATATTGCAATACTGCAACACCTTGTTTTGATGCACCACCACATTTTGCATTTCAACACTTTCTACAACACCATGAATTGTAATACTTACTTCCACATCTCGTGGAATATAGAATATAACGAGAATATAAACAATATTTAACTCCCTATAATTGTGACCCTATTCTCATTGACGTAAGTTGAGTAATTACAAGGAAAAAAAATCAGTTTCTACTAAAATATGTTGCGCATGCACGAGAGAGGGGTTGAGGGAGGAGAGAGTCGGACACGAGACCTCCATGCAGGTG